AGCATGTGCATCTAACTCGGCGTTGACTTCCTCTCATTGCTCACCTGCGCGAAAAAAATCGCAGCTTGACAGGTTGTGCCCCTGGACAAGGTCGCGTTTGCTTCTTTCATCACGTTTGGCAACCAGGGAAAAGGCACTCAGTAGTATCCTTCCATTTACCGAGTGGGACCCTCTCGCACAAGGCACTGGGATACGATGCTCCTCCTCTTCGAGACTCCCGCAGGATATGCTCTTTTCAAAGTATTGAAAGAGTCCAAGCTTCAAGATGTGGAGAATCTGTGGAAGGAATTTGAGGATCCCGAGAAAGCCTCCTCAATGTAGGTGAATGATAATTTTTGGGTTGGACATTTTGATGACGTGGGCCATTTTTTCTTAAAGTGTGTAAATCATCCTGAAACTGTCAGATTAATTATAACTGTTTTTCCCGCTCGGCACCTCCGATGCATACCCCTTCAACTTTTCTCTTCACGTCGATATGTCTTCCTCCCTCCCCCTCCCCCGCACGGCCAATCCGATTACAGTGTAAAGCTTAAGGCCTTCCGTCCTTTCGATGGCACTGCTGAAGCTGTTGCGGCCGCCTCGGACATTATAGAGAGCAATTTGGGGAAAGAACTGAAGAAATTTTTAAAAAAGAGCATAAAGGACAAGGAAATGTCAGAGCAGCTGGCCGTCGCAGATCATAAGCTGGGCGGACTGATCAAAGACAAACTAGGGCTGAACATCGCTACCGGAGAGATAGCGTCTGAGCTATTCAGGGGCGTTCGCACGCAGCTAGACTCCCTTTTGACCGGCCTCTCCGACTCGAACTTGAAGCAAATGCAGCTAGGGCTCTCTCACTCCCTGTCCCGCTACAAGCTCAAGTTCTCTGCGGACAAGGTGGACACGATGATCGTGCAAGCGATTGGCCTCTTGGATGAGCTCGACAAGGAGATAAATACGTACGCCATGCGTGTCCGGGAATGGTACGGGTGGCACTTTCCTGAATTGGTCAAGATTGTCAATGATAACGTGCAGGTGAGAAGGCAAGAGTGAACCAACTGTTCCTTTAATGGACAGAGGAGTGTGTGTATGATTAAAGATGTGTATGATTTGGCGCGTGCAGATACGCGGGTTTATACCTGAGGCTGTGGGTATCTTGCGATGCTTTCCATAGCACCGCAGCTGCGAAAGCTTATAACGCGCCCTCCCCCTCCCTTCACGCAGTACGCAAAGCTTGTTGTCCGCGTAGGGATGCGCACTGGCTTCAAGAACCAGGATTTGTCGGACATTTTGGGGGACGACGCCGTCGAGCAGAGCGTGAAGGAATCCGCAGAAATTAGCATGGGTCAGGAAATTTCCGAGAACGACTTGGCCTCCATCCGCTCTCTCGCTCAAGAAGTGGTGGACCTGGCCGCCTACCGGATCAATTTATTCGAATATTTGAAAAATCGAATGCACGCCATCGCCCCCAACCTGACCATCATGGTGGGGGAGTTGGTCGGGGCCCGCCTAATCGCGCACGCCGGTTCCCTCTTGAACCTGGCCAAACACCCGGCATCCACCATCCAGATTCTGGGGGCAGAGAAGGCGCTTTTTCGAGCCCTCAAGACGAAGCACGACACCCCCAAGTACGGCCTCATTTACCACGCCTCGTTGATCGGCCAGGCTCAGCCCAAGCACAAGGGTAAGATATCACGGGTGCTGGCTGCCAAGACGGCGCTCGCGATCCGGGTGGACGCCATGGGGGACGAGACCGACACGAGCATGGGCGAGGAGGCGCGGAGCAAGGTCGAGTTCAGGCTCCGGCAATTGGAGGGAGGCCACAAGACGAGTTTGACCGGAGGCATGCGGGGCAGCAGCAGTGGGAACGGGGGCCCGGCGAAGTACGACAAGAAAGCGGCCTTGGGCGAAGGAGAGGGGGACGGGTACAATGAGGCCTCCGATAT